CCCCCTCCCCCAAATATTTCAAGTCCACACCTCAAATGCGTGTAGGGCGACATAACTGGAAATCCTCAAATCACAAAGAACGAGTGGGTTTGTAGTGAGATATACAACTTGATATGTACATACAATAAATCTATGACAACCTTTGCGTGAAAGTTTTATATCAAATGGTAGGCGTTTTGATAGTTATCATTAGCCCTTTAGTTGACTTCGGGCTTCACAGAGGGAAGGAAGAACATCAAAGTGAGAAGAATTTGGGAGGGGGAACAGGAGAGTGATTCACAGATGCAAAAGAAACAGGCAGACACAAAGGCCCAGAAAGGGTAAGATGAGTATTGTGGAAGTGCTCGAACATGCAATACAGTGGGGGTGATGGTAGTTAGAAGTCAAATCTTTTTGTCGTATGAGTATGCGTTGCCCTGGGTGCACCAGGTGGAGGTAAGTCTATCCCACACACCCCATGCCTTTGAGATAAGCTATGCAAATGATCATCCTATGTTACTTTTGATATTCTACCAACAACAACAACAACCTAGAATCGCCTAGAAGCAATATGGGAACTCTGGGAAACACCAAGACAAGGCTATTGACCGAATGTCTAGATGAATAATATGCTGCTAACTAATCTTTGTGTTAGAATCTATCTCAACTACGTTGTAATATGGATTATTGTAACTGAAAAGTCCATTCAACATGTATCTATCATGTAACTATCAAAACGCCTGCCATTTGAAATAAAATAAAAATGTATCTAAGGCGTCTCGACTTTGTTGGAGGCTAAGAAAAACCAGTCCGAATTTAAGAGATGAATCAATTAAGACGCAAGAAATTAAGGCTCATGCTTCTGACAAGTATTTCAAATTCGTTTCTAAGAGGGTAAGAATACGTGCTAAATTAAAAAAAGGAGTAAAATTGGAAAAGAGGTCATTCGTGGATGTTGGAAAGCCGCCCAAAATCAAACATCTTCATTTCAATCAGGAGAAGCTTGGAAACCTTATTTCCTGTGAAATGGACGATTGATTCGACTTCCGCTTTCATGTCTGGATATGTAAGACTAATCGTGAAGAAGTCACCACTGCAGTTATTGCCTATTTTGGATCCTAGCACTAAGCAGGACTATAGTAATTAAATTAATTTTGTTAATAAAACCGTCATTTGAGACATAAGTTTGCTCTTTTCCTGAGCTGTTGAGTTGCTGCTGTAACTGAAAAGTACGAAAATGTGATCCCTCATCAATACGGGCGTTAAAATTGCCTGTTCTTCTGGGTAAAGCGATGGCAGAAACATTTGTAACCTAAAAATGTGTTGAGACACGACGAGTTCAAAATATTGCAGTACTGATTGGTTACGCTGACTACACAATCCGAAATCATCGCAATTGAAAATTCTGGAGTATGAGCTATGACCCCATTAAGTGATGATTAAGTATATTAAAAATGACGGAAGAACCTTGCCTTCAAATCAACGTACACCATGGACGCATTTTCTGCTCACATTGGACACTTCCTTAATGGGGTTACAATTTCTCTCAGACATTTTTTGCTCGCCAAAAATTGCTTTGTTTGGTCTCGACAATAGCAAGTATTGCAGTTCGATTTCAATTTCATGAATGCTTTGGTAAACTGATTGACCTCTAGAATTGGCACAAATGCCTTAAAGGCTACTCCAACTTTATGCAGGACACAGTTTACCAAGAAAGAAGATTTTAAGAACAGTGAGCAACAAATTGTGAATGCAACTTTTCTTGAATAAGAACGGAAAGGCTTCCTAAATGGGCTGAGGAATTAGAAGAATTGGAAAAGTTCGCATTGAGTGAACGAAATCGGCAGAAATTGGCTTCTTGCCAAGAAGGTTGCCTGACGCTACCCCCTCCACTCGAGGTCGGGAAAATACTTTTATTTTCATTATTACAGAATGTGATTGTACAGAAAAATGAAATTAGGTAATGTCAAGCTGCAAGATGAAATCGAAATTTTAAGGGGTTATGAAGGCAATGCCTGGTGAAATTAAGAATGCCCTACATCGATAGATAGGCGATATTAGCTAAAATAAAAATCCATCTTACAATCAAGTAATTCGATCTTGAACTGGTTATTGAAAGATTAAATCTGCCAACAAACAACTAGTAAACAACTGTAAACAAGCAACCAAAAAGATAAAATTGAAAGTCTAGATTATAGTAAGTAATAAAGTTCGTAATGATACAAACGATAATATTTGAGTCACCATTTCTCCTAATTGGCGCCTTAATTCCAGTTAAATATTCCAAATGAAGAGAACATATTTCAGTGGAGAATGGCATAATGAACCATTTGGCGCTTTGAAAAAAAACAACAATAAGACTAAATGCTACATTTTTTTGAAATTAAGCTTAAGAGGAGATCGCCAGAGAAAGGACTATGAGAAGATATATATATATATATATATATGAAGCATTTATTTAGTTTGGAGACCAAGGTAGGTTCAAAAAACCAATACGGGAGGTCGCATTCACCGGTTAACATAAAATGCACATAAGAATGAGAGAGCTTCGGCATGAGAGATGAAAATATCCCACTTCGTGAAGCCTTTTCTAATGTGAACTAAAATAACTCAGCACCCGTAGAAAAGAATCAACGATAAAAAATTAGTGTAAAAGAAATAGCACAAGACAATACTACTTACTTCCTGATAGTAGACTTGCGATGCCCCAAAATGTACCACCACCAAGGGAGGTTCCTCCAACACGTTTATAAGAAGAGTCCGCTTCAACCTTAAGAAAGCTCACCCCCGATCCAATATTAACCAGGAGGAAGGGATAAGTATTGACCATAAATGAAGAAAGGAATATCTGAGAGGGCATTGCCCGCTTATCATAAATATAAGCTTCATCGGGAATATTTCGTAGAAGGAATGTACAACCGGAAACCAGAGAAGCCATCTCATCCACACGTTCAATTTCCAGAAAAAATCCAAATTTATCGATTATACTCTGCATGTATTTGAATGCTCCCCCACCAGTAACACGCCCAACTAGTCGGACAGTTTCCCTGTCGATATCAGAGTAATTTGGAAGAACTTTGGAATGAATAAACTCGAGACAGGAGTCGATATGACGTGTCTCAAACTTGGTAAAGCAGAGCTTGTGTCCCTCATACTCGTGTTCACGATAATCATAAAATTCAAAAGGGCCGCAAACAGAAGTACGACTCTTGGAATGAGGATCGGAAAGTTCTTTGGGAACGCACACTTTGTAGCGGAAGGTGTGTTGGTAGGCAAGTTTGGCCAATGAACCACCAATGTCGAGGGCAAAAACACATTCAACAATCTTGTCCGGATTGGAAGTGCTAGTCTTCCCAAAAGTCTCAAACTCCGCAAAACTCGAAATGTCAATGGGAGACGCGTAAGAAGATTGTGCCATTATAATTATGATAGAAACTTAAAAGAGCATTTCTAAAAGATAAATAGGACTTTAAATATAGAAAAATACCGTAATTTATATATACATTAAGACATACAAGGAAAAATATAAAGCCAAACAAATCGACACGAACCCAAGACACACAACCCGTCAGCTTACAATTTAGTGGGCAAAAGCCGACCTTCATTGACCAAATCGGACAGTTAAAAGGTTTAATCAAAGAAATAAGAATAATAAATTGTAAATATATTATTGATTTTTGAAATTTATGTTAATGCCTTAAATTAAAATTCACAATTATTAACTTGCTCTTGATTTTAATCAAAGTCTTACGACAATAAAAGACTTTAAAAGATAAATGAAATTGAAAAGAATTAAAGCGAATGCATCTTCTGAAATTTGGAGAAAAAAATTCGTTTCAGTCAGAGGCTACAATCACTACTTTTATGAAGTAAGATGCAGTTTTTCATCGCCGAATTAGCGGGGTTGTCAGGAAACTACACCAACCATTACAGTTGGTCTCTGATTAATGTAGTTGATAATAAGTTTTGTTAATGCAGATAGTTAACTCAATCAAATTTTTTGAATTTCCACATCAGATGTGGAAACATAGGATCAGTCAGATATTAAGTCTTGCAAAACCGTGATTGTTGCAACATGATGGTGATTCGGCTTTGAAATTTCAATTCCATATTATGATAGAGCAATTTCATATAAAACTTCTTAAATATGTTGGGTGAATAAAAACAACAGCAGGAAGTATTCATATAGGAAAAGAAGAAAGGAACACTATTCAACTATCTTAAAATGTTTAATTGCTTCAGCTTATCTGAGTCATATCCTTCATCTGGCTTTGAAAGATTCTCCATTAAACTATCTGCTTCTTATGCCCTCATGAATTAAAATATGGCCGACATCTTTTCGCAAAACATATGTAATTCTGCTTTTGTTCTCTACATTAAATTAATTATGTCAAATTTTACTTAGTGAAACACATGTATTGGCATTCAGCTATAAGTTCTGATAATTATTTAAATGCCAGAAATATACATATCGAAATTATTAATGTGCAAATAATTCGACAAGTTAGTCAATATATTTTCATTTTTAAATTCGCTAAAAAACTCTCAATTATTAATTTTATATTTTAGATTTTTAAATAAAATATTCAACTGGTCATTTATGATTTTCTGAGATTTAGTTTTCAAATTCTTAACACTGTGTTATGATGGATGCAGTCACCTTCGAACCATCCAATAATAACTTGTATTTCCACAATGCCTTCTAATGATTCTAGTGACACGATTGTCCGGCATTTTATAAAGCACACAGAGACTACAAATTATAAAAGGGCGCAGTTTTTCAAAATAAGGAAAAACAAAAGCCTGATTGTCGCTGTTGCGGCTGCGGTCTTTGCAGTTGGGACGTGTAAGTGTACTTTAATAGGAATAACTTAAAGCATAACCTGTTTGCTCCTTACAGACGCCTTCTCTCTTAACTCCGTTCGTCAGGGCCGCTACTTGGATGAATCTTTCGACAGAGTGCCATTTTCAAAATAAATGTGTATTTTTTCGTGTTTCTATAATTTTTTAGTAATATATCATCATTTATAGGTTCATCTAAGCTTTGCTTTTATTCCTTTTTTTCATTTCGCACTGTTTATCGGATTTTCTATGGTCGAGTTTCATTGTTGGCTGACAGAACTCTACCTCCATACCCTTCTGCTGTTTTAATTAAATATATCCTGTTGGTACATAATTTGCTGCTATTGGAACACGCATTTGCGTTGCTTTGTTATTACTTGGGTGAATAAATTTCCACCATCAAAGTTCCTTTCTAATTTTTACTGGATTTACCTGCTTATCGTACCGGTTGCTTTAAATATCGCCGTTTTCACACTAATTCATATACCATATGACTGAAATCTACTTGGTCTTTGGAGAATGGAACTTGATTTAGGTCTCAGTTATCCAGAACACTTCCCAAGTTATACCAATAGTGAAGCACTACTAACAGTTTTTTCAGTAGATGACTTCATTATTCAGTGGATTTATGTGATGCATGCAAAATCAGTCAATGTATCATGCTGGTTTCGTGGTAAAAGAACAATGAAAATGATTGAATATACGAGTTTAGCAACCATACTGTACAAAAAACAGAAATATAGTTGGGTAATTTCAAGCAAGTAGTGAGTTAGAGACAAGGAAAAAGGACGAAGTTAAGCAAATGAAAAGAGAAAACTCGTTTTCGAGATGTGAACAATTCGGTCATAGTAAGCTATTTTTGTTTGGGGATGGATGAGCTTAAATGCAAGACGGGGGGATGGGGTGTTATGAAAAAAGACGAGTAAATGAATAAACTGTTAATTTACAAAACGCTTTTGGTTAAATATTATATTGGTGACTGGAATCGTGGAACAAAACTGCACAATTACGAATTTACATTGCACCAAAACACTTAAGGAGAGATGGGATTAGTTGAAAGACCACGAAATGGTACTCTGAAGGGAGGAAGTACCGAAACGAGAGGTTCCATGTTAATTCCCCATCCTTTAGGACAAAGAGGCATTTGAATAAGTTGCTTCTGGACAATTTCAAGCTGATACAACAATGTTATTGGCTAATCTAAGGAGAGAATTCTGATTGGACAATGGAATACCGAATGAAGTGTGCGAATCAGTGCCATTTGTCACGGTTTGATTAGTAGGTGGTGTAGCAACAGAGAAAAATTCTGCCTCAAGTTCAAACGCTTTTAATTCTTTGTCATCACGACATTCGGCTCCAGATTGACCGAAGATGTACTCCCACCATGTCATTGGTTCACACTCATCGTATTCCTTCGCTGAACCAAGTATTCGCGAATGGCTAACTACAATTAAGAGAAAAATCAATATATCAATTGCACTCATTACCTAAGCGTGTTATAGCTTTTAGATTTGTATGAACTGAAGTGCAGCACATGAAATCAATTAATTAATTAATCGATATTGGTACATTTAAATTAAGAGCTCTACCGTTGTAAATAGATTAGAGCAATTTAACACCATCACATTTTGATCAGTCTCAATAAGTAGCCTGAAACGAATAAAAATAATTTTAGATCCACCCACGCAGTTGAATTCCATTGGACAGTCTTGGGCGAGAGCTAATTTTAGAACGGGATTGGACGTATTTTAATAGTTTTTGCTTCTAAAGAAGGCTCAGAAAAAAAATCATTTGACTCATTACCTGAATAAATGTACAGTTATCCGGTTCTCATTTTCACTATTCTTGCCTAGTATTCGGAATAGGCACCTAACGTCATTTAGTGAATTTTGTAGAGATGAAATAAATCTCGCATGCACTATGCTTTAAGATGTGCCAACATTTAGGTTTACAAAATATTAATCGCATCAAAATTTTAAGTGAGCACATTTAGGTCTTTCTTAACTACAAAAGATGAAATATACGAGCAGGCGTTGTCATAGGGGGTTAGTATTTCCCAAACATTTGGCTAAAAAGTTTCAATAGTTGACAATTCAGCCTGTCAACCTCATCATCCGTAAGAAGCACGTGGATCCATGCTACTCTTATCAACTTGTTCCAGCAGAACAAAAGAATCAAACCTGGTTGACATTCATCAATATGTCATCCAAAAAGACTTCAATCACTACGAGTAGATATTGATAAATCAATAAATTACTATGAGGATAGCAAACTTCGGCTTTTCATCGATTTAATCTGCTCAATTTGAGTCATTCATAGTCAAGACGGTTAACCTAATTAGAAAAATGGAATACCTCGAGAGCAAATAGGATTGAAAAAAAATACAATGATTCTAAGATTGCCTCAAAAAATGGCAGTTTTCATGCAGATACAAATCAAAATAACCATAAAACAGTAGTATAGTTTAACTGATCTACAATATGCCAATTGTTGAAGTCACCTAAATTTTGTCTTTCTAATTTTCATATAGACAGACTATATCAACCAATGACACCTTACATAAACAATATTCAACCACAAGTTGATTGCATGGTGGATATGAGAGCATTGCACAATTTATTTGAGAAATACATGCTGTGCGTTGTCCAAATCATATTTTTTTATTGAGAGCAACCCAGATGCTGAAATCTATGGAATAAGGACATGCAAAGAAATAGAGACCTTGAGTCTATGTCAACGGGAAAGGATTCTTTCTCAAAGTAAGATGTTTGCGAGGTGAACTGCTATAATTTTCGTTTTTAAAATAAGATTAGTAAAAAAGGCATTTAAATTGGCAGGAGGGGGGGGGGGAGTTTGATTCACTTTAGATGTTTCAAACAGAGAGAGACAAGAAAGCACCAATTAACAATTTTAATCGAATCTAGCCTACAAACTCCTCCCTAATGTTGACGATGAAATGAGGGTAAAAGTATTTACTTCCTGTTGCAAGATTTCTTCCGCTTTAATAGAGCCATTTTCAGAAGATTTTATTTATGATTTGAAAAGCCGACATCCACATAACAACTTACCAAATATTAATCCTCTAGCCTAAAGTATACCACAAAATTCAGCACCAAAATCATGTATCTATGTGCCTGAAAATTCTATCCCCCTTTAACAAATATACCATTGACGGATATAAAATTTTATGACTCAATTAAATATCTACAATAGAAACTTTACTTATAATGTCATTCATGTAAATCTTGGAATAAAAAAACTAATCAATACGAAAAAACCACAAAAATACTCAAACTGGTTGGTAATTAGGGAAATTGCATAAATTCAAACTGTGCACATAAAATTGCTATAAAGATAAACAAGTAATATAATTTCATCCTCCTAAAGCAGGGAACAAGTAAACATACGGAGAGTAAAAGTACCATTACTAACTCCACACAAAGATAGGCATTGCCAATCATAGGCGAATTAAACAAACCAAGACAATGTCAAATTTATATCAAAATCATTTTCCTTCTAGCAATTGACTTTTTGTGATTGCATCAGAGCAATTAGAAATCTTCTTGAACGACTACGCTTTTAAAATCACAGTCCTGGTGTTGAAGATAAATGGGATATCATTAACGAATAAGCTTGAGACCATTGTTAGTCACACATCAGGATCAACAGTACCTTTGCCTACAAATCGGTTACCAAAACAGACGATGCTACCAATCATCTATGAAGCGTCAAGCCTGATTCCACTAACCTGGTTTTTCAATTGCGGTTCTTTCGGGTGATTGAGATGTCCGCTCGCCTTTCAAATAAGCAGCGTTACGAACCCATTCATGCATTTTGTAGATCGATGCAGTGGCAGTAGGCAGATCCCGCATATAACTCACATTAGGGCATCTAGCATAATCACCATCCAGCTTCGGTTTCATTTTCTGAGTTGTCGCTGACCACGTGTAACCAATCTGTAAATACCAACAAAAAACCAATAATCACATATTGTCATTTGGGTGCTTATTTGCGATTAAGGGGTATGTGATTATAACCTGATGTAAAGAACCAAAAGTAGAGAGATCACCAACAATATGACCCTTGGGAGAAGACGACGCTATAAGTTGTGAGTTCGAGTTGGAAGAGGAGGAAGAATGATCTGGTTGTCCCGCAAAAAGAGCAACAAAACAGACGAGGAAGACCGTGAGATAAGCGGATGAATTTGTGGCGGTGACATTTGAGTTAGAATTTGATGTGTTATTTGAAGTCTTCTTTGAATTTCCATGTGTGGAATGCCTTGAAGGCGAGGAAGTTGCGATGGCCGGCGAAGATGCTACATTTGAGGCTGTCTTGTCAACAAGGTGACGAAGCTGACGCAACTGACCCAAGATTGTGCGGTTGTGCATCTCCAGATTTTCAACTTGACCCTTCAGTCTGGCATTCTCTTGTGCGTAATTTTCCACTCTAATGAATCATAATAGCAAGAAATTTGATATTTTGAAAATTCAAAAAAAGAAAGGAGATAAAGACGAAATTATTGTATTTGACATGAATTCTTAATTGATAATGCATTCAATTCATGAGGCAAACTTCCACGTAAAACACGTTTCATTTCCTCTAAATCAATATAACCTTCTATTGGAAAATTATTTCAAATTTACTCGAATTGATTTAAATTAATGGAAACGCTCAAACCCACCCACCCACCCACCCACCCCCCCTCTTGGATTACATTAAAGTTACTAAAAATGGTCAATTTTAATATTTGAAATGCTGGATATACTTGTGCCGATTTTGGGGGGAGTGTGGGGTGAGTGGACGTATTGGCACGGCGAAACAGTGAGCAACACAAGTTCCCACTCCTATCCACCGCCAATACCACTTACGGAAGTCCAGTGACTAAAATGCACATCAAATTTCCCCTCTCCTAACCTCCCNTGGCACGGCGAAACAGTGAGCAACACAAGTTCCCACTCCTATCCACCGCCAATACCACTTACGGAAGTCCAGTGACTAAAATGCACATCAAATTTCCCCTCTCCTAACCTCCCCCCCCCCCCCCCACTTCCCCCCCAACCCCCTATTAGCTATGAGGAAACCTCAAAGCAGCGTACCTAATCGTCACAAATTGGGTACCTATCATAGTTAACTCTACCACTGACCTTTTGTGGTAGGATTAATTAGCAATCTATCAACTAGATCAAATATAGCAAACCATCACGGCTTTTAATAACAAGGCACTTAAACCCACATTAAGGAGAGATTGACTATGATTTTGTCTGTAAAGAGAACACCAAAAATGCCTGAGAGAAGATGTGGGAGACTTAGACATACCCCGTGAAAGCCCTTAAACTCGATTGTGTGTGTGTGTGTATCACAATGAAAAATTGTGTTAAAGCGAAGACCGGAAGTTGGCAATTTTGAATATAAACAAAGTTTTGGTGGCTCTTTTAAAACTACCCGCCAGTGTACCAACCGTTTTTAACCAATAATTACACTTGAAGATCTAACACTTTGGTGGGCATTTATCCCAAGCAAATGGTAAAAATTAACTACTGAACATTTTACAAACGAATTGCAGAATATTTGTGAATAGTGGAAATGTGATAAGGTTAATGAAGAGGGGGTAACTGCGTCTGAAAGTTCCGCGATAACCACCAGATGAAAAAACCACAAACTACGAAATTTTCGGCGAAAATTTTACAAAGCTTCATCATCGAGTAGTGTGTCAAGATGCCTCAGTAATAATTAATCCATTCTAAAAGTGGCACAATTGCTTGAAATAAATCATTGGTACTTTCAAGAGGAAGGGGGCAGAATTGGAATAGAACAGACCCATTATGAGATGATGACTGGATGAAGGCAGCTTGATTGGCAAATATTTGCGAACAAACTACAGTTGTGAAAAATTTGGGTTTCATCTACACATATGAAACTTTTAGCCTTGAAACGGCACTAAAAGAAGAAATTAAATATGACTAGAGAATAGAAAAGAAGTTAATTGTTCTTGTAAAAAAATGAAAATTGGCACAAACGTTCCTAATAATGAACGGAGGTGGGGGGGTGGGTTGAATACACCGTTATGGTAAAAGAAAAAAACATATAGCAGTTTTAATATAACCGGAAAAAACTTTACGTGTCTGCCAATTACTCTTTTCTATTGATTGTTAGTAAAATTTCATGCACAATAAAGATTTACAATTTGTGTGATAATAAATACAGAATTAGATTAGATCTATTTTTGAAAGCTTTTGGCGTAGGCTAGACTCTGTCAGTCTGCTAGTCGCCAAGTTTAGAGAGTAAAGCAGAGAAGCACATTTGCGCGATGATTCATCTGAATTATTCAAATCTCCACCTCAAGTGACAATCATTATGTATATATATAGCTAATAATTGCAGACAATGTCCGACATTTCCCATCCATTTCCTCTATCTCTCTCTCTCACGCAGCGAATGTAAAACAGCTAAGAGGGTACCTCATCGATTCCCGTTTAGTAGACGCGTTAGAGATTGAGAAAGATCTCCCATTTTCGCTGAAATTGAGCCTAAGGATTATGAGCACTATTTAATCTCTCTCTCTCTCTCGAAGGAATGACGCTTTTTTTGGCTAATAATTCAGGAGTGTATCGAAAAAAAATTCAACCCACGCCAAATACGCGAAAATTCATTTAGCGTGCACTCAAGTAGTTCAAGCGTATAGATATACAAGTAGTAGAAGCGCTAGAACTCAAATACTGTCGCAAATATTTACACCCACCCCTACCCCCACCCCCACCCCCACCCCTCCCACGCACACACACACCCCACCACCCTATTGATCAAACAAAATTAGCTCCTAAGGATTTTCGTGCCTTCTTGCTCAAAATTTGAGATGAATCGGCCGAAATGCATTGGAATGATTGAAATGGTAGTGAATTAGTTCAGTACCCGAGTGAAGGCATGTATGGGGCAATAGAATATGAAAGTAACATTAAAAGTATACAAATACCTTAATAAAAACTGCGCACTTTAAGCATGTTTTATAGAACAGTGACTTCTGCGTAATAACGGCGTTCATATACACATCACATTTAAGGAAATATATACATACACACACGCACACATTTTACAACTTACATTATCGTCTAAACATGAAAAAAAAAAACGCACACACAGACAAAAAGAAGAACACCCACAACGCAATGTGAAATTTTGTTACTTCCTCGTCAATCAACCCCGCTAAATATAAATTGCTTCAAAATCACTCAGAAATGAGACAATCAATAAATACGAGAAGATTCCTTTGAAAATCAATTTAATGAAGTTAAAATAATCACACCCTCCTCTCCTTCTCCTCCTCACAGTCGAATAACTTGGAAGAAGGGCTAGTGTTTCGCTAAGCAAAAAAATATTCCTAAATGTGTTGATAATGTCAATTAAATTACTAAGACATCTGCTAGACAATTAGCGAATAATCAAGACCCATTTGGCAAATGTTTGAATCGACTCGGTTAAGTAAACATATTCCTCAATGCATTAAAAATACACAGTAGAAGGGCTAAATCTCCGTGTGCAAATTAGCAATAATTTCCAATTTAGAGTCAACCAATCAGCTTCAACTTTCCTCATTATATGTAAACAGTACTCAAAAAATTACAGTTTTGCCTTAAAGAGCTTAACAAGAATGCAATGACGTCGCTAACTCTTTGAGAGTCAAGAACCGCTCTTATGAAAAGCTCGACAAAAGTTGGTTTGGTTGGTCATCCATATCACCAAAAGTGTGAACAAATAGGGAGAGATTACAAAACTTCCGGCATGGCCAACACACATGTCCAATATTGCACCAACATTTAATTACAAAATTCATGAATAAACAACTTTGATCAAAACTTTGGAAGTGTCCATGATTGTCAAGCTGACGTACTCTATTGGGAACAAATCGATTAATGAGATTAAGACGAGCACATTCAAAACTTAACTTGTTCCTTCCTCAGAAAATTTCGAACTTAAGATATTCAAAATAACCAAATGATTCAGCGTTACCAACTAAATACTGAAGTCAGGTAAGACGACACCACCTAATCTTAGGTTAATATCGTTTCAAATTTTACAATTTCATAAATGAAGTAACTTCGACCAATCACCTTCAGCCAAGTAGGGTATTAAGAACAAATAGACATAAATGAAAAAATATTTAAATCTTCGACCTTCATTTTTCACCCCCTCCCCCCCAACACTACAAGTAATTTTAAAAATTATATCTATTATTTAGTAAATGGTCCAGAAATTCGGGAATTAGGCCAATAAAGGGAAGAAGAGGGAGAGGGTGAATGTGCCACTTTGTCAGTATCTGCTTAACCAATCAGATGGAAGCAAATTAGGCCACATTCGAAACACATGCACCAAATGTTCCTATTTCGATAGCATGGGGAAAACAAAAACAGCAAAAGCCCCTTAAAAAGTTGCCTTACTTCTTTTCCAGAGTTTCCACATACTCCTTCTTCTTTCGACGACTTTCTTGCGCACTTATCTTATTCTTGATCTTTCGACGAATCTTCTTGAGATTGCGTTCGTCTTGCTTGGAAAGGGGAAGTCTAGTTGGAATGCTATAGCCTTCTGCAAGTAGTGTTCGTTTCTCCTCCTCCGTTAGCACAAGAATTCCCGTCTAAAAGTCATGAAGCAGTAATGACATTAAATAATTTGTGAGGTGAGGAGACACAGACTATGGTTCAGATCAAAGGTGCGAATAGAGAAGGGAGATATGTACTTCTAACACTGTAATTAAGGGAATTTGTTTCATACTGTTTTGGGTTACCTCAAGCCCCAACACCAGCGATGTTTAAGCGCGTTGATTGGATCGATTTGATCATCCAAATTTCAATTCAAAGAAGTGAATTGGAGACAAAGAAGATCCTAGATTTTCCCTAAATTTTTGAAAAACTAGGAGTAATTTAGAAAGTTTAAATTAATCACATTGGATTCAACGAGGATTTAAGGTAATCTGTTACAAGTCAGAAATAACTTTCAATGACTAATAATATCCGAAGGAAACTCGAGCGTACATATTTTCATAAAGCGAACATCGAAATTGGGTAAAAGGATAAAATTAGAAAGGAATTTACGACGTAGCGTAACTACAGTTATAGGGCAAAAATTCCACATGAGGTCATGATGGGTTACCTGCCTCCCAAGTCCAAGGTAAGGTCAATAAGAAGCATTTTCAGGTCAGGAAAATTCTTTCCCAAAATTTTAATACCCACGAAAAACAATACTCAACTGCAAAGCATATTCATACAAAAGTATCATATATACTCAGAACGGATTCATATGCTAATACCTAAGTCATTTTTTCAGCGTGGAAATTTGTCATTATGTGTGCATTTTGTCTTCATCTAAAAGCTCGCTGAAAATACTGCCTATAATTACAATTTTTTCCCTCTTAAGTGGTTAATTAATTAATTCATTTTCTATGTTGGGTGGGCAATAAATTTATGACATATATATGATGGCAAAAGAGTCGGTCATAATCATAATGATGATGATGCTACTAGCGTTGCACGCGTGCAGAAGTGTGCGGCTTAGCTCTGAAAAATCGATGCCAACAAGCAGTGGCCACGCGCCACTTGCCGCTTAAACATTACGACCTAACCCCCCCCCCCCCCCCCCCCCCACCATCTCGTCACCCACCCAATCACCGTCTCCGGCAAATCTTGGCCTTAGTGGAAGAGATAAAGAATCGGCTAGGTACCAGACATCCGCATGCGGATACACCTGTTTACATGAAACTAGTGGTGGTTGCTTTGAGGTCATTTGCGTGCTGAAGAAATTTATCATGTCTCTTCACAATATAAGGCGAAATTCAGTCCAGGTGAAATTCAGTACACCTAGTGATAATCACATTTTAGCAGCTGCCTTATTCACTATTAAAATCCACAAAGTTAATTATTCTACTAGAAAATGCATGAAATTTGAATCAAGAGGGTAATTTGGAGCCTATTCGAAATAGAAACTTTTCCACATAATGTATATTAAATGTATCTATCCCTGTTTAGAACATGAAAGTAAATCGATGCTGATGCCACTAATAAGGACATAATGCAGCCTTTCATTAAAAACTAAATAGTAATTACTCATGTGCGTTTGGTAGTTATATCAAAGTGGGTCTGAACTTTGAGGACAAACAGGACTGAGAATTTATTTATTTAACAAACCCTTATGAAAGAGTAAAAAAAAACGATTGCAAGCCAACTTTGAACCTCACATGATCCACTTTTTAGCGACATAAATAAATCCCGAGAAAGAGAGATAATAGAGCCCTTTCTCATCAGGAAATTTACCTGATTAAATGGACGTAATAACTACAGACAATTATTTTAAAATACTGGGGTGTGCGATAGACTTAACTCCACGTGGTGCACCCTGGGCAACGTATACTCATACGGCAAGAAAGTCTATTAACTGGCAGTTGACTTCTCACTCCAAACTATCATCACCCCACTGGTTGCCATATTCTACCACTTCCACAGTAATCATCCTACCTTTTCTCTGCCTTTGTGTCTGACTCTTTTGCAACTGTAAACCACTCTTCTGTTCCCCATCCCTCGACTTTCTGTAACTTTGATGTTCCTTCCCCCTGTGAAGCCCGAAACCAGCTAAAGGGCTAATGATAACTATCGAAACGCCTGCCATTTGAAATAAAATATAATTTTAAAATACTCACAGAGCTCTGGAACATCTGTTGCTGACGATAAGCGGGAGTAGAGTTGCCAGTTGTATATCCGCTGCTATATTCTCCATTGAAATCCGCACCATAATAACTGTCATTGTTCTGGCGATTGGCGTGGGAAGATTGGCTATTATATCGACTGTTAGTGGTATAGACACCACCATTTCCTGGTGTCAGTCTAATGGTTGAAGTGGTAGTGACCGAATGACCATTCCGCGTGCTGAAAACAGAGAGTCGAGTGCGAGGTTCAATGGCTTCCACGGGCGACTCCGCTCCGACGTCAGTATCTGAACCTGTTTGAGAACCTGAGGGAGTTGTTTTAAAACCACCAGTTTGCATTGGATGAGTAGTCAGGGGTTTGATAGGGATATATTCATTATTATCCACACGATAAATTGATTGATTTGAAGTTGAATGCGCTAAAGAGTCAAAGAATGTTATAGTTTATTGATCGTAAAAAATGAAGATCAATATGGGTAAAAAAAACTAACAGCTTAGAGGTTTAATGCGTGTTTGTGCATTGATAGTTTGACGGCTACTGGGCTTTTCCGTTTGGAGAATAAGAGTTTGTCCCTTCTGAAAGACGTAATGAACTCGATTAAAGGCATTGGGGTTCGGTTCACAGGGAACAATAGGAGGAGAAAAGTCGTAAGTCCTCTTCTTAACAATTGGCACCTCCTCAAGAAGAATATCCTCGAACTTACACCTCTTGAGTTGTCGATTTTTACCATTTGAGTTAAGTTGAGGTGAGCCTCTGCAAGAATCGTTATTAGATGGAGTTGAACAACTGCTCTCTACTTCCGGTGTTAGATGGATTGTCTCTGGGGAAGCATCAGTGGAGAGAGTATGGGTATAGTCGTCTTGGTCAAGGAATAATTCGGCTCTTGGGGGATTGTCGGATGGATTGAAATGTTCTTCAGAATTATTAACCTCAACCTCATCACCAACAATGAGATCATTGCCAAAACCTAGGATATATAAATTCAAATAGATCAACAAACCAAATATGTCAACATCGATGGGCTCGGTCTTGGTCACTGGTTTAGACGTAATGTCCGTTAGAAGGGCATCGTCAATATCTTCTGCAGATATATCATTAAATATATCCGCATACCAGGGCTGATCGATATTCAGAGAACTCTAAAACATTAGACTTAAATAAGATTTCATACAAGAGCTTCGTCATCTAAAACTGGAAAAATATCTGCAAGTTTAAGCTCATCCATTTTGCCACAATCTTATTAAAAATGCCTACAATCTGAGAGTGGTTACTGACCCATAAAATTGGATCATTAAAAGTCGAACTCCAAAAGTGCACTCAAAAATTCTAGACATGAATAAAAATTATTTTTAATAACATAATATTAATTGATAAACTTTTAATTAAAATTAAGTACATTTTGAGGTTTAAAAGCTTATAAATTAATAACGTAACAGTTTGGAACCTAAAACCAAATATATAATTATTAAATATCATCATTTGTAATCATTTTCAGTTTTAAATTATAGTATTAAATTTTAAGAGAAAAAGATCGATAAATCTTTCTAAATAACACTTCAACGTTTGCCTCTCTAATTGAAATATTTATTATTTATATCAAATGGCTGGCATTTTGATAGTTTCATTAGCCCTTTTGGTGACTTCAGGCTTCACAGAAAAGAAGAAATATCAAAGTGAACGAATTCGATAGCTGCAGCAGTAGTGTGTTTCAAGATGTTAAAGAGAGACCAAATGTAGGTAAAAGGTGAGGTGAGTACGGTAAAGAAGTCGAATATGACATACAGTGGGGTGATGGTAGTTAGAAGCCAGAAGTCATCTGCCAGTTGGTAGACTTTTTGCCCTATGAGTATACGTTGTCCAAGGTGCACCTTCTTATTGAGATATCAAAGCAGCATTATAAGGCCCATATTTTTAAGCGTTAAAATGGAATTTTGTTCACACGTTTAGGAGGAATCATTAGGGTTCAGTATTTGTTAAGAATTTTGTTAGCATCCACTTTAACTAGAGCGAACTTCAATCATTTAGATTTCTTTACTGTCATATTGGTTTTCATGAAAATTCTCGAATCAATAAATTGTCGTGTTGGTTTGAACCAAGTCTTAAGTTGACACTATAGGGGGTGAATTTTGGCTAGAAAATTTGTTAGACTTCAGTTCTGAAGCAATATGCAAATCGATATTATACTATCTGTGGGCCGTAATACTAACTAAAAAATTAAGCATATATCCACGTTGTCAAAATGAAAATTTTTAGAACAAAATTTGAAAAATAGACATTAATTAATGTTAGTTGAATTACGCAATGCTACGATTATCATTTTCCTAAATAATATTAGCAAGAAACCGTTTTTTGTTGATTCCATATATGGAATAAATTGTCTAAAATGGACCTTCATTCTCGAACCTTATAGAAACATAGGATTACATTTTCTTGCAGGTAATAGCATATGAAACTTGGAATATACACAGATGTTTTATCATTCATATACAAATGATCTTATCGATTTGCAATAAGATTCACACAATTATGTTGTTTATTCATAAATTAACCTTTTCATGTATTTTTTGGAATCTTTTCAATTTTTGTCAATTTGAAATTTAACGGCTCCGTTGAAGTAAAAAATAAAAACAACAGCTTTTGTTTGCTCAGTTGCTAATATTTGTCACGCATAATTACTGCATCAGCTCACTATGGATTCAGTGCTGTCAATTAAGATGTATTTTTTTACCAGCCTTAGGAGCCTAATAAAAACAAAATGTAATTTGCCGAGATTTGGTAGACAAATGTTGTCTCAATATAATGATTTCGTCTCTCAGGCATATTTTAAGGGTAAATTGTAGTATAGTGTTCAAGGTCTCCTCCTACAATTGCTTTGGGCAGTGGATGTGATCCGAATAGTGTAATGTTTGTTTTGTATGCGGTTCGGTCTGTTAATGGTAAAAGGCATGGAAATAATTTATAATTAAAATACTATTTCTACCCGCAATAGGTATAGTTTACATAAATACGACGTTCAGTTAAGAATGCAATAGATGAAACCAAATGTGAAGGCTGCAATAACATCAGCAAATATTTTCCCCAACATGCATACTGTTGCATTCATAACAGGTTTATAAATGGACGCTCAAACATTTCTGCAAATAAAATTTATTTTAGTAAATGTTTGGATGAAATTTGGTTAAATTAGCATATTCTTAATGACTGTTCGTGAGCCATCATAAAATGAACTAATCCATTAATCAAAACCCGGTATAGGATCGAATATATTATGATAAAATGTTATTATTATATCAAATGGCAGGCGTTTTGATAGTTATCA